TGAGAGCATTCTCCACAGCTTCCGCGTTGAGCAAGACCAAGTATTTAATGACTCCACGCAGCTCGGAATCAGACAGCTGTTCAATTTGCTGATAGATTCCTTGATCATCAAGAGTGGCATTCATGATTGATTGATTGATAGATTGATTGATTGATAGATTGATAGATTGATAGATTGATTGATTGGTATACTATCGTTGATCGAATCGATGTGGATGATTGATTGATTGATTGATTGATTGATTGATGTATTGAATTCAACAGTATTCGACAATGCAATGCAATGCAATATAATATAATACAAGACAATGAATGGATGGCCTGTTCAATACAAATAGACTTTATCCAAACGCGGTACAAGTATATAATACGATGTATTTTATATGTTCAAGACCAACTTCATAAAAACGGTATTTTTTCGTTTCGTTTCGTTTCGTGTGTCAATAAATTTCAAAACTGTTGGGCACGCGGACTAACGGCCGACCGACTTGGTGGTCAAAGGAGTCGAATATTGCAAAGGAGTGAGTCGACTGCACTGACTTACTCTCAGCTCTCAGCAAAGAACGTCTCTGTGCTGACTTGGTTTCCCTTCTCAAAACCACCCACTCGCACGTCAAGCACGGAAGTAATAGAAGCTCCGATATTGCTCTAGTTTTGTACATTTCCTTCTCCTTCCTTCTTTTAGCAGACATCATAAACATTTGGAAGCTCAAAACAAAACAAAACAAAACAAAACAAAACAAACGCACTTCAAAAATGTCCTTTCAGCGTTCTACTACACATACCAGTATTCTTGCCTTGACTGCTGTGATGATGATAATTCTAACACTGTCATTAACAAGCCAGAACGGAGGAGGAGTTGATGCCTTTGTTTCTTCTCCTCATTCTGCTGCTGTTCGTTCCACGTTTACTACTCCTTCCTTCCAATGCAAATCCAAATCCCCCGTTTCTTCTTCTTCTTGTTCTCCTTCCTCCTCCCAATTGAACTTCTTTTCAGGATACGAAATGGGTGGAACGGATGCTGTGAACAATGAACGCAAGAATAAGAGTGGAAATACTGGTAGAACTACTAGTAAGAACAACAAGGACGAGGCTGCCAATACTGCTGGATCATTGGATGAAACAGAAGACCCTCTCTTCCTTGCCAGTCTCATCACCAAGGGAATCATCATTCTAATCATCAAGACGGCAAAGGACATTGTCAATTATCCACCGAATCTATTGGATCAATACAATCGTTATCAGCAAATGCGCAATCAAGAGATTGCCAACAACAATAGCAACATTCAACTTCAACAACAACAAGCAGAAGAAAAAGAAAAAGAAAAAGAATTGGAGGACCCTGCCATGGTCATGTCAGCAAAAATGGAACCAACTGAGTCTGACACTGACACTACAACAACTTCTACTCCTACTACTGCTACTACTACTACTCCTTCTCCATATATGCCACTTCCCATTGAACTCACCAAGACCAATCCATTCATTCTATTGGCCAAGTTTGTGGGTGTCTTGACCTACAAGACCATGCACGATGCCATTTATTATCCAGCTCTATGGATCAATGATTTTCTTCATCCACCGCACAACGATGATGATGCGTATTATTACTATTAAAGAACCATAGTGGGAATGGATGGAAATGATTGGATGGAAATTATTGGAGTGGAGGATCCCACCATTGCTTTGCATACCATGGAGCTGAAACCCATCATCATCGTCGCCGCGTGAAAGAATGGGCGATTGCTTGGGAATCATAATGGGATTGATTCGTACGGCAATGGATGTAATGAAAATCATATTGTACCCGAAGAAGGCAACAGAGACGACAAACGAGCCACGAACGAAAACGACGAAAGCGAACTGTATCCGATGCACTATATTCAATATACGAGGCATGAACGAGAGACAAACAAGAAAAACGCAAAAGACTTTTCCATTGATTTTATATTCTATCTATGCATATACATAACTTCAACTTTCATGACGCGAAATTAAGACACAACACGAATCATCATCGAAAAAGCAAAAGTTGAGATCATTATGGAAGCCTCTTGCATATTCGATATAGTAAGTATACAGTACTTTACATCTATAATATACAAAACACTCACAAGTAAAGGCTACTCTAGGACTATAGTCTTGGTAGGAGTAACAACAACAATTCAACAATTGAACAATTCACAATATACTCTCTGTGCGGTCGTGTCTTCTCGTTCGTCACTCACTCACTCACTCACTCACTCACTCACTACAGTAGCTAATAGTAGGCCTCCGCTTGAATTTCCACAGCAAAATTCCCCATTCCTGCTTGCACACAAATTCGTGTGGGCAATCCTTCCGGATCCACCCACTGGTCATACACATCGTTCATTTCTTTCAAATTGGCCGGTGTGTATTCGGCCACGTAAATGCGCACCGCCAATAGATTCTTGCGAGGAACCTTGGCTTCTTGTAATATGGCATCCAACTTGGCCAAAGCTTCCGATGTTTGTTGGGCTGTGGAGGATCCAGGTACTTTGGAAACGTCACCGACCAAACCTTGGGTTCGTAAA